ATTCCCAGTAATTATAGTACAAACTTGAGAGGAAAACCCAAAATTTAGGCGATGGAATTCCTAACTAACACCTAAATATATTGCATATTCGATTTATATTTGGAGTTTAGTTTTTGTCAAAATAAGTAAATAATAAAGGGGGATAGATCATGCATGGTTAACCTGATGAACAATAACAATGTGTATGCAGCTAATCCCAGTGTGGTGGAGGTGGGCGTATTGGGCAAACCCAGCAGCATGGACGGTGTATGCACTCATGTTCTCTCAGCTGGGCGACCGTACAGAGCTAATTCTTGTGCCTGGGCTGCCAGACCAGACCGTGAGGGACTTCCTCGAGAGCTACCTTGGCCTTGAAGACGTCTACATGAACCTTGTCACCTACCTACATGTTGCCATTATCGCCTTGTTTGCCACTGTCTTCTTTATCTCCCTGAAGTACCTCAATTTCCAGCGGAGATAGCACAAACAAAATGAATGATGTCATGTGAATTACAAATACACTAAGTGATAAACCACAACTGTATAAAGCTAAGAGAAGCACTCAGTTAATTATAAATAAGCACATGAGCACGATGATGTTGGTTTAAGAGGAAATGTTGAAGTAATCAGCATATTTGAGTGAGAAGTTGTATATGTACTCTCTCCGTTCCAAATTAATTGTAGTTTTAGCTTTGCCATAAGTCATACTTCTTTTATATGTCGAATTTGTTGGAGTGAGAATATCATTTTGAAATGTAAAGCATGGTGGTAATGCAACGAAAATTTCTTATTTTAGTCACTGCAGATATATGTGGTCGTTGTTGCGAATTTTTGTTATGAGGCATATCCAGTAACACGTGCCAATTCTGGGTCGTACTATTGTACTTGGCAGTCGCACGATTCAATCAATCACGTAAACACATTTTATAGTCATTTTTCTAAACCCCATTTGTGTTTATTACTAAAGAAATATTCTTACAATCAGAAAGAACCAACTCGTTGCACGAGACAACATACCCCCCACTAACAGATTCCTAGCTTTAGCATTGATTTTTTTCCTTTCTGCTAACTCAAGGGCCACAAAATCCTCTTAATCATCAACAATTTGAAGTCATGTAAATCAAAGCAGAGACACATTTTTTGTGCAATATATCGTATGCAACCGGATCACAGGATTGGCAACCACTTACAGCTGAATGGATGCTCCAAATAATGTACGTATATATGTATGGATACGTAGCAGGCCGCGTACGTGTCAGATGCACTCTAAGGAACTCGTGCATATCGCAACCCGTGGTCTCTTATGTTAACCCTTTGTAAATGTGGATATGTGGTCATGACAAATAAAGACGTAGGTAGTTCTATAAAGAAAAGACTAGCAAATGGGCCCGTGTGTTGCAACGGGAGAAAAAAAACTACAGACCCCTAACTCAATAAACATGGCTCTAGACCCCGGGAGGCCGAGTACTCTATTTCAACACAACACTCCATTTTAGTAATATTAGCTGGGAAAATTGCCCGTGCGTTGCAACGGGAGATACACTATCATTATTTTTTATGAAATACAGCCAGATGCTGCTTTTCATTCATTAAGAGGAATAATCCATCCGGAAAATACATGAGGGCAAGGTGTACCAGAGTTGTTGGCGCCCTCAACCAGGAATTTTACATGTGTAGAAAAGAGAAAAAAAGGAAAAAGAAAAACTAGGCTACTGTGCCAGCCACTGTACGCCTTTGACACCAGCCCGAAACCAAGTGTGCAACTCGTCAGTTATCACGTTACATGTTCCCATGAAGTCGGTGTCTTTGCCATTGAAAATTCTGTTATTTCTCTCTTTCCAAACCTGCCACCATATGATCATGCAAAGAGATGAGAATTCTTTCTGTCTATGCAAAGGAATGTTGTCCAGAGTGTGAAGCCACCATTGGATCAAAGAGTTAGTATCATAGCATGGTCGGAGGTCAAATCGATATCTGAATTTGGTCAGAAAGAAACCCCATACAGCAGCAGTGAACGGGCAAGTTCCAAAAAGGTGAATAGCAGACTCCAAACCAATGCAGCATAGTGGACACACAGGGTTGTGTGGCCAATTTCTTTTTGTGAGGTTATCTGCAGTTAGGCATTTACCTTGAATGGTGAGCCACACAAAGAACTTCACCTTTTGTGGTATCTTGATCTTCCAAATAAGTTGTGAGAGAGGGGTGTAAATCCGGCCAATGAACTGGCAATGGTATGCAGAATTAGCAGAGTAAATCTTGTTGGAGGTCCATTTCCAAATGATTTTGTCATCGGCTTGGGAGAGCACCACCTGGTCAGCACGATGCCAAAAGTCCAAATACTCAGCAATCACTTCAACGCATGGGTTTGGCTTAATCAAGGTGACCCTGAGAAAGAGTGATGTTCCTCCTTTTACTATGTTTGAAAAGTTTGGGGTAAGCCAAGGAAGGGGAGATCCCATCAAGCCAGTGATCATGCCAAAAAGATATGCCAGTGCCGCTGCCGATCTCCCAGGACGTAGATGCACAGAAAAGATTCTTGATCTCCTTGTCGATAGGTAGGGGTAGCCCATGCCAAGGTTTGTCAGGACAGGAAGCATTCTGCCAAAGCCATCTCACCTTCAAAGCCTTGCTTTGTCTGTATAAGTCATGAATTCCGAGACCACCAAGTTCCAGGGGAGAGCAAACCAGAGACCACCTCACTAAACATTTGCCTCCACTGACCGAGTCTGAACCAGCCCATAAGAAAGACCTTCACAATTTATCAATCTGCTTGAAAACCCATTTGGGTTGTTCCACTGCCAGCAACTGGAAGATGGGCATGGCGGAGAGCACGAATCTTACAAGAGTGACACGCCCAGGAGTAGAAACCCATCGAGCCTTCCACCCAGCGATTTTCTTCATAATTTTTTCAATGAGAAGCTGCAGATCTTGCCATTTGAGCCTCCTATCAGACAGTGGCATCCCAAGGTAAGTACAAGGGAAACTACCAAGCTGACATCCCAGTGTAGTCTGAATGTCTGAGAGGTCGATGTGCTCGCACTGGATGGGAATGATTTTGCTCTTGACCATATTAGTCTTCAAACCAGTGGCATTGCCAAAGAGCTTCATAATTTGAGAGACGGCATTAATCTCAGAGAGTAGTGGTTTGCTGAAGATAATCACATCATTGGCATGAATGGAAGCCCGGTGTCTAATAGTCTGTGTACCAAGCGGGGCTAGGACACCATGAGCTTGTGATGTATTCATCAATCTACCAAGACAATCAACCACCAAGACAAAAAGAAGGGGGGATACGGGGTCCCCTTGTCTAAGTCCCTTGCGATGCAGAATCTGATCGGTAAGCGCCGAATTAACCAAGACCTTGGTGGAGGAGGTAAGGAAAAGAGCGGAAATCCACTCCCTCCACTTCGGCCCAAACCCTCTAAATTCCAGTAGGCTGAGAAGGAACTCCCAAGACACAGAATCAAAAGCCTTGGCCAGATCCAACTTGAACATAATTGATGGAATTTTTTTGTCTGACCACCTTTGCCATGGATTGCACATACACGAAGTTGTCATGGATGCTTCGACCCTTTATGAAAGCATTTTGGCATTGGGAAACAAGCTTATCCATCTGAGGTTGCAACCTAGTCGCAAGAATCTTGGCAACGAGCTTGGCAAAGAAATGTATAAGGCTTATAGGCCTAAAGTCTTGTGGTCTGCTAGCACCAGCATGCTTGGGCAATAGAGTGATGATGGCACTATTAAGAAGGAACAATTGTTGCTAGTTGAGGTTCTGGAAGTGGGAGAAAGCGGCCAATAGATCCGGCTTCACGGTGTCCCAGCAACTTCGAAAGAAGTGCCCAGTAAATTCATCAGGCCCGGGAGCTTTTTCTGGGTGAAGATAAAAAATAGCACTCTTTATTTCCTTCTCAGTAAAGTTGTTGTCCAGGTGAGAAAGGTCGCAAGGCTGAAAACCTAGAGCATTGAAGTTCAAGGCAGCAGATCTCGGTTGGTAGGTACCAAGCAGAATGTTGAAATGAGACCAGATACATTCCTCCTTCTTAGTCTGATCAGCAATGTCAACACCATCAACACACAGACTAGGGATAATATTCTTCCTCCTTCTAGATGTTGCTTTCATGCGAAAAAACTGGGTGCTGCAATCGCCTTCTCTTAACCCTAAATACCTAGATTTCTGCCTCCAAATACATCTGTCCAGAGCGGCCAGCCCAAGTAGCATCATATTCAACTTTCCCCTGAAAGTGTGCTCTTCCCAGGAGAGGGTTCTGGAATCTCTAGCAACATCCAACTGGTATATTATCTCGTTAATAATGAGCATTCTGAGCTTTATATCCGAGAAGATAGAGGAGGACCATGAATTGAGCTTCTTAGCAGTAAGGGTGAGCTTGTTGTGCAAGTTTTGAAAGGGGTCAGTGGATGTCACCGCATTATCCCAAGCAGAATTAACAGTCTCCGGAAAACCATCAAGCTTGGTCCAAACATTCTGAAACCTGAAACGTCTCTGGGGCTTCATGTCAGAATTGCAAGTGAGTAGCAAAGTCACTACTAGAAAAAGGGCTATAGATGGGATTGACACTAATGGCGCACGAGAGAGTAGGTGCGCCATTAGTATATACTAATGGCGCACCACCTTCTGATACGCCATTAGAGTTGAAACTACTAATGGCGCACCAGGCAAAGAGTGCGCCATTAGTATCAAATTTTTTTTTGAACTAGCGCGCCTGTCCAAACATACTAATGGCGCATCCAGATAAAATGCGCCATTAGTACTTGTAACTACTAATGGCGCACCGGGAAAAGGGTGCGCCATTAGTACCAAAATTTTTTTTGAACTAGTGCGCCTGTCCAAACATACTAATGGCGCATCCGGACGTAGTGCGCCATTAGTAGTTGTAACTACTAATGGCGAACGGTGCAAAGGGTGCGCCATTAGTATTAAATTTTTTTAACTAGTGCGCCTGTCCAAACATACTAATGGCGCATCAGGATAAAGTGCGCCATTAGTAGTTTAATCTAGTAATGGCGCACTGCGGATCAATGCGCCATTAGTATTTTTTTTTGCAAAACTACTAATGGCGCACCGCCAGAAGGTGCGCCATTAGTTACCTGGATTACTAATGGCGCATTTAGTGTTGGTGCGCCATTAGTAAGTGGGCAGCAACAAGATATTTTGGACAACCCTCTCCTACCCACACTCACTTTCTCCCCCACTTCATTCTCTCCACTTCCTCCTTGTCTCGGGTGCCTCCTCTTTTTCACCTCATTTCCACCATAGATTCATTCAAATTAAGTGGTTAAATTACCTTGTTTTAATAGGTAAGTAAGGGGGGAAGCTATATTTATGTTGTTCTCCCTACAACAATGTGCACATGCACTTTTTACGGCCTAGCTAGATCTATGTATGTTCGTGGTGTTGCATATGTTTGTGGTGTTGCAAATGTGTTTGTGTTCGGAGGTGTACCGGTATTTGAAATGTGA